ATACAGTTTAATTAATACCAAGAAGGGAAACATCATCCCAAAGTATTTCTTACTGTATTTTCTTTTACTGTTCTACTTAGATACTTGTCATGAATCAAAGTAAAAATGAAGAGCATGTAAAATAACATTAACTACTCACAGTTCTGACTTCATGAATATGCATACCCTTATCTACTGATTATTTTATCAGTTCTATTCTGTTAATTGCAGCATCTATGAGTTATTCATATTGCTACAGATATACAGAAATTATTTCTAGGAACAATTTTGTATTCAAAACTATGAGCCTCTCGGAGGAACTGTTCACTATCCTTTTTATCCTTTCTCTTCATCTCATTAATCAGAAGCAAACTCCTGCAGTATCAGGACAGGAACTAAACTTCAAAAGACAACCAAAATTTATAATATGTTTTCAAAGAACGCATTAAGCAAATCAAACCTGGCTTTCTGCAAGGAAAAAGAAAAGGCTCAAACTCACCATTTATTTCCAACAACAACAACATATAACCATATCATGAATGAAAAAGAGACACTGTTTATTGCACATGGTGGTTAATTTTGTATTAATTATGTAGTATTAAATAGTGACATTTATAAGTAGGGAAAAGAGGCATTGTTTTGTGCAACTGAGTTTACAGTTTATTTTAAATATGTCACAGTAAATCTAATTCAGTTATTGCAATGTCATAAAAGCAGCATGTCAACTGATAAACATATGTTGTCTTAGAACCAGCTAATCCAAATGGATAAACTAGTTATCCCTCTTTTTGACAGACAGGCAACAATCCTGGGAATGAATACTACTGAATAATTTCTTGTGTTCTCCTAGTTCTTTCCACCTCATAGCCTTCTGCTCTCCACTGAAACCTTCTACATTAACTCTCCTATATAACACATTCAAACAAGATTAGAGAGAATATCTATCTACCTGGAAAAAAAAAAAAAAAGCAAAAATCTGAGAAATTGCAAATGGATGATTCCAAGATGAAGAACCACTTTAAATGTTTTTAACTATGTAAAGTACTTCCTGCCCCTATGTATATAATCAATCCATATACAGAATAATACTATTTGTGCTGTGAGAACATATGTGACAAAGAATAAGAAAGAACAGAAAGACAACACAACTAACTTTGGGTTGTAATATCAAAGAATAGGTGTTCAAAGCATACATTTTCAAAAGTAAAATAATCTTCAATAGAAAATCAGGAATGACCAAGCTACTGCCCATAAATTTCTTCATGGGTCTCTTTTTGCTTCCAAAAGGTTTAATTTTTATCAATTTTCTGTTGAAACACATCCTAATTTTTCAGATTATTTCTTCAATTTGCCAAACTTGTTTTCCTTTAAAATCCTATTTTCCAGCATGTTTTTAACCCTTCCCAGCTTGACATTATCTGGGTGCATAATACATGTCCATTATTCAGAACATTGATGAAAGCCTCAAACACGACAGATCCCTACCAGATCCTACTAGACATCTTTCCAATTTCACCATGAATCACTGATAATTACTCTGATGCAGTCTTCTAATCAGCTAGGCATCCATGTAATAGCAGTTTCATCTCATATGCTTCCCACCAGCTTGCTAATGAAAATCTTCTGAGACAATGTAAAAAGTTTTCCTAATGTCAATATGTTACTACTGTTTTTCCCTTATGCATAAAGCCTGTTTTCCTGTAATCCAAGAAAACCAGACTTGTTTGACATGATTCTTGACAAATCCATATTGAGTGCTAGTCTTTTTTTATATTTTTCCCCCATATTCCTTATATTTTAGAAATAGCTAATAATTTTTCGAAATACAAATAATTAATACATAATTTCTCTCTTTTTTTTTTTTTTTTTTTTGCAGGCAGCTAGATTTTCCCTTTCCCACTT